TTGCTCTGAAACTTCCCTATTCTGATGCATTATTGCCATGCACAGAGTTGACAAAGTGCTGCCAAAGGATGTAGGAAGCAGTGGGCTAATCCTGCCAGCTTCAGACTCACCACGTGCACAGCTGTAGTACCCAAGCTCCTTACTGAAAAGGTTTTAGTAATGCCAACAATAACTTGGGATTCCTGCTTCCCTTCCTAATCACCCTGATGTATGCAAACCATTTTGCCATTAGGGCTGTTGCAAGGATGAGCCTGCCAAGAGCAACAGGCACTGCTTGGTTTATCCACCCCTCTGTGCTCAGTGCAGCATCCTTCACCTTCCCAGCACAGCACTTAACCATCCTTTTCTGCCACCAAGCTGTGATTAAAAACTAGTCCTACAGATTGGACTAAATCCTAAAGATGGATCTAAGAGACTTAAGGAAAAAGTGGACATAGAATTTTTTTTTATTCAATCAGAAACTATTTTCAGTTAAGCAAACAACCCCCCAAACAACAAAACCCTCACTATGATCAAGAAGTGCATGAAAGCCACTTCAAGAGCTGTACCTGCATTAAGACCATGTTTGCTCAAGACAACAACTATCATTTATGAATTTTCTTTTTATCATCCATTTAGAGCTAAGATTGTCTGGTCAATATTTAACTATGGTACTCTCTTTTTTCTTTGCTGTCTCCCAGCATATTGCTCCTCTAGGCAACCTGTAGTCTTCTAGTTTCCTTAAAGCTGAAGTTTTATTTTGTCAGGATAGGCTGCTTTTGCCCTGAGGCCAATGGTAAAATTTCCTGAAAACTAAGATTGAACGCTTTTCTACGTAACTGTATAGCACCGTTGTGGATTAGACTTCTTTATGAAACACCACATTTGACTGACTTTTCTGATATGCCCCACATTCATTTTGTATTACCTATGCAAAACAGTATGATCACAAAAATACGGTAAGCAAATTATTCTGGAAATATGCTTTCTCTTAAAATGTCACAGCTGTGGGATTTATGTAAAAAAAAACCCCTAACTTGCAAAAGAAAATCAAATACAGTAACTAGGCAGAATCAACCCATGCTTTTATTTTCATTGCATATAAAATTTCAGAAGAAGGTATTGATGTACAGTACTATCCCATAGGCTATAAGAGAGGCTAAGAAACCAGTGAAACAATAGTCATGTGCAATGTTCACACAAGTTGCCACTCTCAAGACATCCCCAAAGGAAAAAATGAAATTAAAACACTAACAAAAAATTGTTATGCATTTCTGTTGTTATAGTGTCCCTTTTATACCATTTAAAACAAAAGAACTAGATTTCCTTTGGACCAGGGCTGCTAATATCTACAGTTTGTGTCAAAAAGGAGGCTCTGTTTTTCGTTGAAAAAGAATCTCTCCTTTCACAAAGAAGTTGCATACTACAAGGGCTGGGCATCACTGGAATGGAGGAGAGATATTTACCTCGCTCTGGCAAATTCATTGATACCAGCTCTAAGTAGTTTGGAGCAAGATGACAAGTCAAATAGCAACAGATGCTCAGTCCAACCTGCAAACCTAATACTAGTGTTTTTAAAAGATCTAAAGGTTTACCACTCTCCTGTAGATCTACATAGCGCACTATGCTATACACACCTGTACAAAGCCTTAGATACAACTATATCAAATAGAACTTTGGCTGCTTATAACACTAATATTGGTGTTACAAAGCATTTCCAAGATTAAAGTCTTTTGTCCTACTTCATGGATTCTGCTTACACAGTGATAGTTTGTGCTACTAAATAAAGAAGAGCTATAACAGACAATTGTAAAAGTGTATGAGTTATACCCTTTTAATTCCAAATATTCCATTTCCCAATATGCATTAAAACCAAATGCTTATTAGACATGCTTTCTAAAGCTGTTTCAATGCAATTCAGTACTGAAATACAGCACCAATTATTTTTTTTTTTTTTTAGGAGCAAAAAACAGCTGCAATAATCCCCAATGGTAGCCTGTAAAAAGATAATCAGAGAGGCAATACAATTATATTGTCAGAAGTCTGGAAAAGCTTGAACTTCCAGTAGGCTCATGAATGAAAGCTCATTGTAGTATCATGCATATTAGCTCGTACATGTAACCCCATCAGTTAGAAACTGAAAGTACGGTAGAAATGCCCAGCCCTAGCCCCACAGCTACCTTACTTTCAAATGCAGCAAAAAATAAAATATTGTTTAAAGTTAAGGCACAGCCCTGGGACCAAAAGACCTGCAGCTTTTTTTTATTGACAGATCTTCATGTATTTTAGACTTTTCTTGAATCTTCCATAAACAAGCTCTAAGGTGACACAGAATATATTACAGGAGAAAAAATGTACAAGGAATATGTATACACAATAGTCATTCTCTCACCAAGAGTTTCCAAATATAGCAACACCACCCTGACAAGGATGATGTTATAGTAAGAACAGATAATTTACAGTTAACATTACAGTATGTACATTACAATAAATACACAGTTGTAAACAGAGACAAACAAGACTGTATTACAGGTAAGGTCATTTGGTGAGAAAAATGCATGGCACAAATAAAATAAATAATGCATTTGAAAAGAACTGTCAAAGCTTTATGTAAAATCCATTTCATTCAAGTTTTTTAAACTTCTTAATGCTAATTGTTCTATCTATATTCTTTCATTATCATTTTTTAATAATGACACAAAACAATTTAAGAATTCAAATACAGCATTATTGAGTACAGCAACTTACAAGCTAAAGTGTACTGTTATAAGCAAGGTGAATTTCATTTTTTCCCCCACTTAATACACACTCACTGCATTTTTTTATGGCAAAAATATTCAAAACACATAAAGCCACTTGTAAATTGTATTGTTTTAAAGCAGTGTGCAATACTAAAACACACTTTGGCAAAAGAGGAAAAAAAGATTGTACAGTGCATTATATCCCCAGCTCTAAGAAATGATATAGTTTTCTATTAGTTGATTGTCCACATGTATGAATGTATATCTCACAAAATGGTGTTATTCTTCTCATTTACTTTCAATTACTGCAGATACAAAACCTTTCAAGGTCCCTATTGATTATTTTGGAATTTATATTGCTTTTCCATTATTCAGGTTCCAGGCACTCTTGGGGACTGAAAGGATTTTTAGATGCATCAAGTTCAGGAAGAAATGATGGAAAAAATAAAAGTCAAAAACTGAAAAAAACCATGAGTTCTCTTCATTCTCTTGCCTCCTTCAGCATCTCTTGTGCTAAGGCCCTGTGAGGGCTAAAGGTAGAGAAAACTATGCACTGGATATAAAAGAATGCAAAATGCATTTAAAAGCTGAATTGTTAGCCAATTGTTTTTAAACAGGTTTTTATTCTAGATCGCAGACACTTAAAGAAAGCCCTATCTGCAAATTTACTACCAAAATGAATCCAAAGGGAAAATAATGACTGTTGCTATCTTCTTTTGTTAAGAAATCATCTTGGGATTGTCATTTTACCAGAATTTTACAGAGTGGGAGTCCGCTAGCTTCCCTAGGCAACTATTTCCCATCTTCCATGCTCCAAACTACAATTTTAATGAAGAATAAAACAGAGGAAATAAAATTCTTTCTTCTTTCATGTGATCAAACAACAGTACTGGCAAATGACAAATATGAACTCCTACCTCCCTTTAACCTTCCAAGTTACAGAAGTTTTCAGTACCAATCAAACCGAGAAGCAGGATTCCCTTGGCACATGCTGGATAAAGGATGAAGAGATCTGAGATGGAAATAATGTGGAATAAACTACAACGCTCATGGTGCATTGCTCATTTGCTTAAAAACATGAAAAGAAAACACTGGCCTGGCTCTTCTTGCAACAAAGACATAAAAAAATAATGCTAACCATTATTTTTATGTTGTACACATCTCAGGTTAGCAAATGGTTTAACTAGATAGCTGACACAGATAAAAAGATATTAAGAGAGTCAAAATTGGAAATACTAGACTAATGCTTTTTTTGCCAGAACAAATATTCCATACATTGTATTGGCCTGTTCTGATTTAGCAGTCTATAGCTGCCAGCCAAAAATGGTCTGGAAACTATGTTTCAGAGGGGTGAATTTCATTAGAATAGCAGAAGAGATGCTTTTGTATTAAGACCACAATTCATTACCTTTCTTACAGGCTCTAGTCCTGCAAATCCTAATCTTAGTGGTCCCAGTTGGTTTCACTGGGACTATTTCTTGTAGTAAAACAGACTTGGGAAGATCAGGCCACTATCAGGGCAAAAGCATAACATTAAGTACCTCTAATATGTTTTGGAAAATTGTGCTGAAACAAACAAGCAAGCCGTCATACTGAAAGAGTTTTATGTAACATAAAGGATATTAATGAAACTCACTAATATATAAAACAATAGACTTTTACAGCTCAATATTTCCATGAGATTCTAAGGTGCAAAAAAAATAAAATAAAAAAATGAATACCTAGAAGTATTATCCAGTGTAGCACAGATTTGTACTGAAAACTTGCAAGTTACTCTTTGGAAAAAAAAATAACCAGTGGCAGATGAAGTCTGAAAGTGTTTTTCTTTAAATATAATACCTCAGTACATTTAATAATAAAAGTAAGCTCTACAAAAGATCTCTCTTTTACATACTATACAAAACGCAGAGGTTAGTGCAACCCACCGAGTCACATTTTTTTTTCAGTCGTGTATCAGGAAGACTCGAAATTAGAAAATTATGCAATTTCCATAGCGCATCTTCCTATTCGTAACAGAATCATGTTGTGTCCCATCTTTTATGTGCATCTGTCTTCCAGTAGGAACCTCAGTCTATTTTCTGTCTGTTTCCCCTCATGATGAACATTATCCAATGCTTTGCTTGCGAAATACAATGAATTCAAAAACTAGCAAAGCATACCAGCATTCAGTTGGCAGGTGGTACTCCTCTGAAAACATTTGCTTTATTTAATCAAATCTGCCAAATGGAGAGCTTATTAAAGTGTAGTTTATGGATGTTATCCCCCTTGCTTTCTGATGCCATGGAGGTGACAATTCTGGTTACAATATTCCTGAGTGCCAAACTGAATCATCAAGGTCAGTTTTGATCAACAAACGTCCTGGCAGATGACAGCGAGTTGTGACTATGGTTGTAGCATATGACATATATTTTGGAAACCATTACCTAATAAAAACAACAAGAAAAAACACACAACAACAAACAAACAAAAAAGAGAGAAAGAGAAAAAGAAAGGGGAGGGCAAGAGAGAAAGAGAATGCGTCTTCATTGTTACGTGTCAAGAGAATGGTCTTCTACCATACTTGGTTCCGTCTGGTTCACCTCTTCTTCTACTTCTTCCCCGACCTGCTCATCAAGAGGAATTTCAGTGGATTCTGAATCCTGGGTGCAAAGAGTCTTGGAGTCACTGCAGCTGGTGTCTTCTTCTACTTGGCTTCCACTGTCCTTTTCCGTGTCTGACTCACCATCTTCCTCCAGTGTTAGTTCAAACTGGAATTTCTCAGTTTGGCCCTGCCTACCCTCTTCCTGGTCATCAGGTGCAGGAGAGGGACTTTGAGGGATTGTGCTCTGGTACCATTCTCGATTGTCCTCCAGTGTATCTAAGATATCCTGGGCATCCGGATGAACAAGATCTGCCCACGTCTCCCAAAGAGGATGAACAATGTAGTCTATAAAACCCACCTGTTTCAAATAATACAAAATTAGGATGAGCTCTTATTCACAAAGACACAAACAACTATGCCTGTAAGTCATGCAAAGTGTGAGAAATATAACGCTAGTGAGAAACACTAGATGCACTGCCCTTAATGGTGGCTGAAAGGAAAACATGCTGTTTCATGTAGTAAATAGGGTCTTTTAAATTTCAAAAGTCTGATTCAGGATATTGGATAAAGATTTCGAAAGGATTGTTTTCAAATGAACTGTTCATTCCAAACAACTCCACTGCATCTAGTGAGCCAGACAGCTGCTTTCTATTTAATTCTGCTTTTGAAGGACACCCTAATGAGCAACTGTACAATACTCTCTTTTGATGTATTTGCTTCATTGCAGATCACGACGACGGAATCCCTTCAGCAAACACACTGCCATGCACTATGTTTTCACAGCAAAAAATCTCAGCTCTCCTCACTAACTACTCAGGAGCTGAATTAATTAACTAGGAGGTTAAAATGGAAATAATGTGTTCAGAAATTAATCAAAACATGGCTATGGACCATCCTTTTCTGTTCAAATGTCATACTGTGTTATTTAACTGCCTACTCAAATCGATTACCTGTGATTTTTCTACAGATGCATTGTGCTTATCACACATGGGACTTATCTCCATTCCTCTCTCTCTTTCCCGATCTCCCTGATGGAAAAATTCCTCCATTATTCTGTCTGTCCACTGGCGGTAGAGATGGAGTGGCTTGGTTGGATTGCTTAGATCTGCACAGTGCACCATATTCTGAAGAACCTAAAATAGATTGAAAACCTGCAGTGTTATGACACTGGAGAAAACCAGCTCCTTTTCCATTTACACTTTCAGTGGCTGTGAAACAGAATCCTGAAAATACATGTAGTGCAAGATTTATTCTAAACAGCAAAAACTTATGTGCTCGGGTGTTTTTCACACTTGCAGTAACAGCCATGAATTACCTCGCTTCTGCTGCTTCTGCCTGTATAAGGGAGAGAAAATCTTTAAGAGAAAGACCAGTCAGGTGCTGATAATTTGAAAAGAAGGCCAAAGCCTTTGTCCAGAAGTACTCTAGCACCTTGTTACTCTCAGAGAGTCACTCAGTACCTAACAGAGCATGTCACAGGTAGGAAACATAAGAAGGAGTAGAGGGAAGGTAGTGAATCATGGTGTGAGAATGGACAACTGATCTAACACATGCTGGAGAATGGACAGGCTAATGTTAGGAAGGATGTAAGTTAATACAAGTCACTGTTTACAGATGCATTTTCTTACCTGAATCCTGTCTGAATAGTTATCAAGAAGCAGGACACCAGAACTGGTCACTTTCTTGGTTTCAACCATGGTCTTTAAATCAGCCAATAGATTCATATGCTTAGACATGTCTGTTGCAAGTACCTTGAAAGAAACAAACAAATTAATTAATATTATGTAAATTATTCTACTGTTTTTTTAAAAAATTATCTTTGAACCTATAAATAAACAATTCTGGGGGGAACCCATAACTCTTGTGCCTGAATACACTATAAAAGTCTGAGTTCTGTATGTCATTAGTGTCCAAAATATTAAGTTTTTATTTTGGTTATTTTAAGAATACAACAAAATGATTGTTCAGAATTGTTCAGAATGACCTGATCAGCCTAAATTCATCATCAATTCATAGCAAATTTCTAACTGTGATTAGAAATGACATACATGTCAGTATGAAAACAGCTTGAAGCAGGATTGTATACATTCTAAAAAGGTATAGATGGTTATTAAAACTGAAAAGAACTCACTATTCATGTTTGGATAAGACACGACAAAACTTCAAACTTTTACTTCATTGTTTATGGTTCTAATGACATGTCTTTTAACATAAAATGCTTCTGTGCTTTATTATTCAATTGCTAGCACTATGGAAGAGGGACTCTCAAGCAGCACTCACAATGTCAATGACCATTTTCCTCAATGATTGCCTTTGTTTTTTTGTCAAATTCTGGAAAATGTCACAATTTTCTTCCTGCAGCAGCTTGAAGCCCACAGCTAAGTGATGATTCTCCAGTACTGATGAGTCATTGTACATCAAGGCGAGTTCAGAATCTGCAATAACAATCGCAGGGCAGAACGTTACTAAAGCCTGTGCTTCTACCAAATCCCTTAAGGTTTTTCCAATTCATTACATTCATAACAAGATTTACAGATGAACTTTTACAAACAGAGTTCCTGTAGTTCACACAGTATCAAAAGTTACAGAATTAATGACTGAACATCTTAACAAGTCAAGGCAAAGTACGTTGAAGAAAATAAAGAAAACGCTTTGCAGTGAAGCATGTACACGTGCCTGGAGTGGCAAGTTAGAAAAAAGAGAAGGAAGGCATTTTTCAGAATACATTTACATATGCATGAGGTCAACATGGAAAATATTATATGTATAAACACACCTATACTAAAATGCACTCTGGTGTTTTCTCTTCTCATGCCTCCCTCCCATCACAACTACTAAAATTCCATCGTTCAAGTCAAGTTGCAGCTATCCAGCACTCAGAATGGGAATACACAGCTGAGGCTTTGCTGCAGGTCAGGCAGAGAGCATTAATCTTGGTTTTCAAACCATGTCCTCCTGCAGTTAGCTAACGCACTCAGATGCCTAGCCATTTAGGCCTATGGGTCATTAGTCCATGACAATTAGATATTTTGAGAGGAGGCTGGCAGAATGGTAACAGTTACGCTTCTGCTCTTTTTCTTGGAAGGTCACGTGCCTTGACAACACAAGCAGTGGCCTTGCCTACTGCCTCCTACTTGAGCATGGTCAACACCTGATGCCGCAACGTTGCCTTCTCCAGCAGAAGTATTCTTAACTTGGTCACTCCGTGCAGCTGTGACAATGACATACACCTTCTTAGCAATGCCTGTGCTAAGGCACACCCTCAAGGTCTGCATTTCTTTACTTAGACCTGCCGAACAGCCAGCTCTGACAAATAATAGCAGTTACGACAATTTTCTGCACAGCTTTAGATTCGACCCGGGGATACCACGCAGTCAGCTTGCGTATGTTTTAAGACACAGCTTGCAAATGAATCTGTCATAAAAGACCGAATACTTCTTATGCAATCACACTTGTCATGTGAGATATTCACTTCTATTTATTACAGCTGTTCTACCCTAAATCTAACCATACGTCAGTCTATTCTGCTCTTTGTCCTCTTTATCTTCTTTTACAGCAGCTTTGTTTTAAAATCCCTCTGGCTCAATGGAGTCCCTATAAAAGCTCTGCTCTTCAGATTTCATTAGTCTCACTATCCATTCTCCTCCTGTCTTGAATAAATCCATCTTTTGAACCAGGAAACCTTTCCTCTACCTTTCCTTATCCTGATGGCAGCAAAACCATAATAGCAAAAGGAAAAAGAAAGTGTGTTTGTCAAATGATCTCTTTCATCTTTCACAGAACATTTACAAAGCTCGCCTATTTGTTATTTTTCCTACAAAGATGACAGGTACTAGTTTATTTTCCTTTCAAACAGCCTTCTGATGAGCCCCAAATGCAAAACACTCAACATTGCCAAAACACTTTGGAAGGACTGGAGTTACAGACAGCGCTCCACTTTGCAACGGAGGTGGAATGGAAGGAAGTTCCCCCTTGGTAATCTTTGTAACACATTATAAACTTCAAGCGTATTTGTCTGGAAGGACAGAGTTACAGTGATCAAATAAGCATCTCCTTTGACACTAATACAATCTGTATTTGTTTCTTCTTTAATAGCATTCAAGGTGGATCAGATTTTTAGACAATTGTGTAAATAGACTTTAAATCAAATAGGGAAATTATAATTACTCATGTGATATTTCTGAAAGAATAAGCTGAAATATAGCAAATATGTACATACTTTAAGTAAATCTAAGTCTATTATGCTTTTAAAAAATGTATTCTTATACTTCTTAGTGAAATGTTAATACGTTGTAGGGTTCACCAGAAAACAAAATTAGGTGGAAGAAAAAGATCTTCTAGAGTTTAGGAAAACCTAGGATTTGCGACACCTAAATTAGATGGTCTTTCTCTCTGTACTAGTTACCAATAAAACACCAGAAATCTAGAGTAAATCCCAGTCCTCCTCCTTGCAGATGAGTCATGAAATTGAAGTTCACTACAGGGCAGCCCTTGGGCCATTAAGGCAAATAAAATAAGATGCAGGCTAAACTGGAGTAGAGGTCTTACTTGAACATACAGCAGCAATGAGTCAGAAGAGGAGCTCCCTTCTTCAAACTACATCAGTGATTTGGGGTCATACTATTTTAGCACCCATACAACAGATTCACTGAAGTGCAGGAATGACAGTATCTATTCATGTGCCCCCAGACTGATCAAATACACAACCCTAGGTATGTTTCCATTTCTTTAGCTTTTTCTCCTTATGTGCTTGGATTATTAGTATTATTTCAAGTTTTATACTTCTGGGTCAGTTATCGTAAATAGAGAAGTTGTCAGACAGCAAAAGAAATAACAACGTATGATGGAACTTGCACTGACCTACAATGTGCTACCCACTTATAATAGTAACATATGCCACTGAAATCAAAGCAGGTTACATTGGGGCAACAGGAATGAACTGTGTATTTTTCTGGTGCTACGTGCAGATCTTGCAGCAAATTTTTGAGAAAACCACTGAACATCAAACTTACTTGTGTTGATAAGAAACTGGTTTGAAACCCCAGGATGATCTACATCATGTATTGCACTGGCAAAAATTGCTGCAAGAATCTCCAAATCAGTGAACACTGCCTAGAAAATCATGAAACAGAAATGACAATCACTAATCAATGAAAAAGTGTTTTCAATAAAAAGGACTCAACTTTCAATCTAGAGCTGAACAAGCAAAAAACATTTGAAATGTATCAGGGATCTCAAGAGATTTTACACACATGCTATCACAAGCTTTTGTAAAATCATCAGTTACGTGGAATTTCATAAATATTTCAAGTTTGGCCAAAGTAAAACAATCCTTATTTCACAGGGACAGCATCACTAAATTTCATAACAACTGAAGTTTTTTCACCTTCAGTCTGTAAATAAACCCACTTTTATTAGATCATTATGTACATATTAGATCATTAAGACCAGGTTTCTAGCCTACAGCACAAACTGAAGTTAGAAATTTCAGCCTTACTACTCCTATGTATTGTCCTGTACTTGAAAGATGCACATCTCCTAAATGAGGCTAAAGGAAATGGTGACAGACTACAAGGCATCTTACTTAACATTTACTGATTTTTCTTCCATATGAGATTATTAGAAAGATAGGAAGAGCG